TATCAAACACTTGAAATAGCTTCTCAGTCAATCATTCAAAATAAAACATTTGGGTTCGTTAACTTATTTTCTTGGACTAAAAATTCATTATTCTCCTAATGGATACATAGTTAACCAGAAAAAGTACACCAACTTATCTGATGAGAAACGAGTGGATACATCAATGGAGGTGAATGTAAAATATAGAAAGGATGATGGAGACAAATTTCTGGATCCTACTCTTTATAGCCAACTGGTTGGGAGTCTACTTTATCTCACTATGGCTCGTCTAGATATTTCTCATGCAGTTCAGGTCGTTAACCAATTTGTTGCTAATCTTCGTCGCATCCACCTCTTTGTTATCTATCGTATCATTCGTTATCTACGGTGTACGTACCATAGATGTATATTATTTTCTTCTAACTCTTCTCTCCAGTTACGAGCCTATGCTGATGCGGATTGGGCAGGATGCCCCGATACTAGACGTTCAACCACTGGCGGATATTCTCTCATATCATAGAAATGTAAGAAACAACAAACTGTGTCTAAATCTTCTGCAGAAGCCAAATATCAAGCAATGTCCTCAGCTTGCAGTGAAATTATTTGGTTGAGAGGCCATTTACAATACCTCAATATTCTTCATCGAACTCCTACACCATTGTATACTGATAATATGAGTGACATACGTATTGCATCAAATCTAGTGTTTCATGACTGCACAAAGCATATAGAAGTTGATTGTCATTTCATTCGTGAAAAATTTATGGCCAGAGAAGTTACTCTCTCATATATTACCTCCCAACAATAACTTGCAGATATCTTTACCAAAGCAATGACTCGTGCTCGTCATTACTATCGCGTTGACAAAATGATGATGTTCACCCAACCTCAGTTTGAGGGGGAGTGTAGAGATAAAGATAGTTTTTAGTTTTAATTTTAATTTATCTTGTATTTGATATAGATATCTCTCTTGATAATATTAGATTAGTAAGTCATTATCAATAACTGATAAGCCGTATATTTATACGGGACTTTATATATTCTTAACAATTAATCAATATACAGAGATTTCTCTAGAGGATACAGAATTTTAACACAAGGTTTGGAGAAAAAGTGCACAATGAGAGAGAGCAAATGGAGAAAGAAATCATATAATTAGAAAGAGAAAAGACGTACTGAATGGGTGTTATAGAGAGAAAGGGCATGGTTAGAGAAAGAATTTAGAGAGAAAAATGACACAATTAGAGAAATTGACAATTCAAAAGAGAATGGAGTTAGAGAGAAAAAAGGCGCAATTAGAAAGAGAAATGAGCACTTAGATAATTAGTTAAGTTAGAGAGATAGTGTATATGGTTAGATAGAGAGAAATACATAGTTAGAAAGAGATGAGTTAGAGAGAGGTAAAATGCATATTAAAAAGAAGATGAGTGAAAGAGAGGGAGGTGTTAGAGAGAGAGCGGGGACAGTTAGAGTGGTGTGAGAGACAAGGAGATAGAGAGTAAAAGTTCGTGTAGAGAGAGATAGGGAATACTTAGAAATAAAAAGGTTTAGAGAGAGATGACATGATTAGGGAGAATGGAGTTAGAAAAAAGGGAGATGGGAGGGTTAGAGAGAGTAATTAAAGAAAAAGGATGATGGTGCTGTCTTATGAATTTTATTTCAAGGAAAGATTTTTTAACGGTAGACAATAAGAGATGAAGGATAATGTTTAATGTATGCATTCTTTGTAATGAAGATGGAGAAAGTGGTAATCACGTCTTTTTACATTGTCCTTTTCCATTTGGATTGTGGTGTTGGGTGCTTCAATTGATGGGGATGTAAATAGTTTTTCCTAGTTCATATGTTGAGATTTTGGAACAATGGGATGGTGGGAGCCTTTCAAAAGTAGGGAGAATAATATAGTAGATTATTAAGGTGGTGGTTTTATGGGAGATAGGGAAGGAAAGAAATAATAGAATTTTCAAAGCAAAATGAGTGGTGATGAATGCATTAAAAAGAAGGATCATTCATCATATTTGGAGTTGGTTTTTTTATTGGGAGTTGATTTTTTATTACAAAAGAGGGATTTGAAATATCATAAGTGGATATTTTAGTCAATCTTTCAAATTTGATTCGACAAAGGATGTTTAAGGTTTGACCAAGGAGTGTGTGGAGGCCTCCAACTAATGGAATACTTAAGTTGAATTTTGATGGTAGCTCTGTAGGGAATCCTGGGATAGCTGGGTATGGCAGTGTTATAAGAAACTCCAATGTTGAAGTGTAGTTATGTTATGCAAAGCCTTGTGGAGTGACATCGGCAATACTGCAGAGATAGAGGTTCTGCTACAAGGGTTGCATCTTCTATTTGAGTGATTTAGGTCATGGCCTTGTATTGTTGAAGGAGACTCCATGAATATTATCAATTGGTGTAATAAGGAGGCTAGGGTGTCATGGAAACTGAATGGCAAGTGGTTGGAAATCATGGATGTTATTGGTCAGTTGATAATCTCTTTCAAACATGTGTATAGAGAGACGAATTTCATAGCGGATGAGTTGGGAAAAAAAAAAAAGGCTCAATTGAATGATTTGGCAGTTGGTGAAAAGTTGTTTCTTTAATTTTATTTTATTTTTTTGTTTTTATTGTAAAGTTGTGAGTGATTAATGAAATCATAGTACTCTTGTCCAAAAAAAAAAAAAGGGAGAGCAATTAGAGAGCAAGGATACACCAACTAAAATAGCAAAAATCAGTTGTTTTTCATATTTAAATCAAGTTAAGTCGATCGTTTTCTATAATTAAATAAATTTAAATCGATTTAGAATTAAATAAATTTAAATTGATTTAATTATTCTCATATTTAAATCAACGTAATATGATTTAACCATTCAAAATTTTAAAATGTAAAATTGAAACCCATTGTGATGTGACTCGGTTCAAGCTAAGGACTCGGGCGTAGCCCAAACTGAGTTACTCGGGCGAGCATGAGTGACTCGCCTGAGTAGTAATATCTTAAAACCATAACTAGCAAGTCTCCATTTAAAACACGATTTTTCCAAAAAGTCTGATTTTTCAAAATCCATTAAAAACTCCCGAGTTTTTCAAAAGATCTTTAAACAATCACTTTTTTTAATAGAACCAATATAAATCCATATTTTACCTTTTTAAAAAAAAACTTATTCCCCATAAATTTATTTCTTCATTAACTTAATCATATTGAATTTTGATATAAAGATAGGCACATTAATAGTGTGAGTAAATTAAGAATCTTTATTTAACAAAAACTTTCACAAAAAAGTTCACCAAAAAGTTCCCTTAAAAAACGTATATGGAAAACATAGGCAATATGTTCGCCAAAAACTAAGATATCAAATTAATCGTATGTCTCAATAATAGGTAGAGTTAAAAGAAAACTTTTTTTAATAAAAGTAGGTAGAGTAAAAAGAAGAATAACTCGATGAAAACCCCCTTTTTTTTTCCCTTAAAAACTGGAACGTTGTTATAAAGAGCAAGAAAGAGATTCAATCATACTAAAGATTTAGGCAGCTAAGAATTTAATGTGAAATTTGAATTTGCTTACATTTGTTGTTTTCTTTATTCACAGAGAATATTGATTAACTTCACCCTAAAAATAAGTATTCATAGACCCGCAAGATCAATATTATTTTTTAAGTTTCAAATTTTATTATTTGTATTGAAAATTGATTTTAGAACCATCATGAAGATTTCTTATGCTCAAAGTGCTTTTCCTTATGAGAATTTTCCTTATGAGAATTTGAGGTGAAGCTTTATTTTGGTTCCATAAAGCCTAGGCCCTACAGAAGCTTCATCCTTATCTTGATTATATTAGTGGGTCTCACTTTTGACTCAAAACCCTCATGATCACATATCCAATATCATGTCATAATTGGAAGTCATGATGCCATTCAATTTGGCAATGGGAACAAGCAGGGAAATGCCACAGAAATTTTGTTTTATTTTATATTTATGGGCTGCAGAGTCCACATAAAATGTCTTTCTTGGAGCCCGCACTTATACCATGCTCCCTTTGGAGAACGGAAGACACACTTTGGAGTAAAAAATATTTGAAATTTTGAGTTTTTAATATTTAGATCTCACCATTAAAAAATTGGATACACTCCATTTAATCTCGAGACATTATTTTTTCAAGTGCATAAAAAGTATAATTCAAAAAAAAAAATTAATTAATCTATAGAGTAAGAAATTACATTCCCAAATTTGAGGTCCTAAAATTAAATCTAAGTGAGATTTTACCCAAGGGAGTAAAATATCTCTTGGCTATTGGAGTCAAAAGTATTCATTATGTCAGGCTCCATTAAATGAATGCTTAATAAGAATGTGCATCTCATAGAAACCCACAAATAAGACATGGACATAGTTCATAGTTCAGACTTGAGACTATAGAGGACAAAGGCAGGGAGAGAGTTTTAGAATACAAAGTGGAGAGAGAGAGAGAGAGAGAGAGAGAGAGAGAGAGATTAAGCTTTTGGTCCTTTGCAGCCCACTATGAGAGAGAGAGAGATTAACCTTTTGGTCCTTAACAACCCACTATGAAATGCATTTAGCGCTCAGTCATAAAACAATATCAAAACTCAACTATATAGAGAGAGAGAGATTAACCTTTTGGTCCTTAACAACCAAGAGAAAGAGAGGTTAACCTTTTGGTCCTTAGCAACCCAATATGAAAAGGTTAATCCTAAGCAACCCAGTATGAAAAGCATTAAGCACTCCAGTCATAAAATAATGTGCCAGTATCAATTCCACTTGAGAATTTGGTGGCATCAACCATAACAGTCAGGGAGTCTTCTAGTCATGGTACCACTCAAGTAAGCGCCACCTGTCCAAGTTCAATCATGACCTACCCCTATCAACAAGGCTCTTCGAAGCAGTATACAAAAAATCAACTCGGCTCAAGTACTCATACTCAGTTCAGCCAAGGTGCTTGTACTCGGCCATTAGCTGAGCCAAGTAACTCGGCCAAGTTGGGTAAACCCCTAAAAAAAAAGGCTTCAAAAGGGGGGGAATCTCTAAAAAAATTTAAAAATAAGAAAAGTTAAAAGGATTGACAGAATCATTAGGAGATAAAATAATATGAAGAAAGGGATAAAAGAACAGTTCGTATCCCGCACCATAAAAAACGGAAACACTCGGACAAATTCCTGATTCCACAGATGTTGCCATGATGACTTTGATAAAGGCTATGCTCTCACAAATTCATCAACAAAGACTAGAAAAATGCAGGCCTAACCCACTAAGTGACTGTGTGGTACAACTCAGTGCTTTACATATTACTTCTCCGAACATCTATAAATTCAGGCTCCTTCCAGTACACACAGAAGCTAAACTGAGTAACCATTTCTATGGGCCATGGAAATGGAAATGGTGATGACATTTCCAATTTTCATCCTCTTCTTCCAAACTATTGTTTTCATTGCTCTAATCAAATCATCTGATGGTTTATCAGGAGTAGAACTAGAAGCCCAAGCACTCTTGAATTGGAGAACCAGTCTGAAAAATCAGACCTTGGATTCATGGCTTTTCAAGACCAACAATAAGACCGGCCATTGTGGCTGGTTTGGCATTCAATGCAGCGATGGGGGAAGTGTAATTGAGATAAGCCTCTCAAATTCAAATCTTGAAGGTACTCTTGGTCGATTTAACTTCTCCTTGTTACCCCATTTAATCCACCTCGATCTCAGTTTGAACTCCCTTGAAGGAACGATTCCGCCAGATATTGGTCGTCTTTCGAACCTCACTTTCTTGGATTTGTCTCATAATGAATTATCTGGTTCAATCCCGAATACATTCTTTTCTGGTCTCAGAAAACTTCAAATCCTAAACCTCACTACAAATCATATTGGCGGCCAAATTTCAACAAGTATTGTAAACCTTACTAAGCTTCGTGAGCTTCGGCTCGGTTACAACTCCTTCACTGGTTCTATTCCTGAACAACTAGGTTTTGTCCACTCTCTCCAAATACTCGAACTCTATGAAAACCCACATTTAGTAGGGCCCATCCCTGGTTCTCTTGTCCAGCTCCAAAAGCTTCAGAGAATGGATATTAGTACATGCAATCTGAGTTCGAACATCCCACCACAAATAGGAGACATGAAAGAGTTGGTTGAAATCTCTCTCTCTAAGAACCTTCTATCTGGCCCCATTCCTCCTTCTATTGGTAACCTAACCAAGCTCACCATCTTGGATCTCTCCTATAACCAGCTCTCAGGAGCTCTTCCTTCTGAGATTGGAAACTTGGGATCGTTAACATCTCTCGATTTGTCGAGTAACACCCTCGGAGGCTCATTGCCGAGAACATTATCCCGCCTCAGGAAGCTGGAAATGTTCTTTATCGAAAGCAATTTGTTCTCTGGCACCATTCCAGTAGATATTTGGGAGCACAATCAATTGTTGGGGGCCGACTTGTCTTTCAATACCTTCTCGGGTACACTACCTTCAGGAATATGTAGAGGGAATAACCTCATAAATTTCTCCGCCAGCCACAACAATTTCTCGGGGCCCCTGCCGGAAGGCTTGAAGAACTGCACGAGTGTGATCTGGTTCGTAGTCGAGAATAACCGTCTCGAGGGGAATGTTTTCGAGGCTTTCAGTGTCCATCCTGATCTGATGTCTGTTGACTTGTCTAGGAATCAATTTTCTGGCCACATTCCAGAAAACATTGATGAAACAATGCCGAAACTAAATTTCCTATCTGCAGCAGGTAACCATATGGTGGGAACAATTCCTTCCACTATTCACAAGATGAGATATTTGGGTCTTCTCAACCTTTCTGGGAACAACTTCACTAGTACCATCCCCACCTCGCTGCCCAATATGGAATACTTTCTGATTTCTAATAACCACATCACGGGAACCATTCCCAACTCTGTGGGGAACATGACCAAACTGGTTGTCTTAGACGTTTCAGGAAACAGGTTAAGTGGTGTTATCCCTTCTAGCTTGGGGAATTGTAAGTCGCTTGAAGTATTGGACTTGAGCAACAATAATATGCTCGGAGGCATTCCATGGTCGCTCGGGCAATTAGGGATCCTTCAGACACTGCACTTGAACAACAATAGCCTATCAGGAGAGATCCCTTCATCCTTGAGAAACTGTTCTGGTTTAGATATTATCGATCTTGGTGAGAATGGATTCTCAGGTGTTATTCCTACTTGGATTGGTGAAAGCTTCTCATCACTACGCATTCTTCGTTTACGATCAAACAAGTTTACAGGGAGAATCCCTCAAGAGCTGCCACTCTTGCGTTCTCTTCAAGTCTTGGACCTTGCAGTAAATAATTTATCAGGTGAGATCCCTCGGACATTTGACAACTTCACATCAATGGCAATCAAGCTAAGAGACTTCCATAACAGTTCCCATGGGAAGTATTATGAGGAAAACATTGTAATTTCAACAAAGGGGCAAGCACTCCCATATAGCAGGACTCTTTCCCTGGTTACATGCATGGACATTTCTAGTAATAATATTGTCGGGATTATCCCGGAAGAGTTAACCAGCTTGGTAGGCTTGATCGTGCTAAACTTGTCCAGCAATCACCTAACTGGGAATATCCCCAAAAGGATCAGTGCACTGAAGGAGCTGGAGTCTCTAGACCTTTCGAACAATCTACTTTTTGATGGCATCCCACCAGGAATCTCATCCCTGACATTCTTAAGCTACTTAAACTTCTCAAATAACAACTTATCAGGACCCATTCCCTCCAGCAATCAAATGGAAACTTTTCAGGAATCGACATATTCTGGGAACCCATATCTTTGTGGATTTCCTCTTTTTAAAAAGTGTGAAGTCCCTACCCAAGTGTGGACTACTATTCATAAGAAAGATGATGATGAGGTTGGATTTGGGATTGATGTGAGTGTAGGGATGGGTTTCGGCATAGGATTTGGAGGTCTTTTCTTAGTTCTATCTGTCAAAAGGCCTTGGAGCCGTGCATGTTTCAAGTTCATTGATCTTATTGTGAAGAAACTGCTATGGGCATTGTAGCACATGCACACACACACACATACTCATGTGGTAATCAGAAAGGTCACATGGTCTTATGCATGTTTTGATATTGTGATTAGTAATGCAGAAACTTCTTGAGTTTGAATTGAATTGCTTCAAGGCCAAGATACAAATATCCCTAATTATTTCTAAAATGTTTGGGTGAACCTGAGTGTTTAAGATTATGGTTGGCATTTGAACTGAATTTTCAGTTGCAATCATCATGTCGGGCTTGCAGGCATATAGAACGAGGAACTCTCCATGGAAAACCAGAGGCTATCAACACTTCTTGCATTCCACGATTGTTCTTGCAACTGAAAATATAGGAACCTGAACCCTCATTCATATGATAATTATTGCTGCACTACTTTTCCTTGACATATATTGACACATTCATTAGATCTTTTCCAGTCTCTATACGATTTTGTTTTTTGAAATATCAGTCTTTATACGAATTATAAATTGCAAAAGATTTCACGTTGAAGTTTATCGACGTTTCTTAATCTATGCCTTATCGTGTTTGAGAAGCTAAATAATACATACAACACAGGGTTGTATTCAACATAAAGGAACCTAAGGTCGACTTGAATGAACCATATATGTACATCATCATCCTCATCTTAACCTTATCCCAACTATTTGGGGTCGACTAAAATAGTCACACAAATATATGCCCCTTTAAAGATTTTGAAAAGCCATTTGCCCATTGAGCCAATGCCTTCAGAATTTCTGGACCATACTTAGACCTTTGGTTACATAATAAAGCTTTACTCCTTTCCCCAACAGTCCAATTTGGATAGCTTTTGTCAGGACGTCAACCAATTTATTTTTAAACTTTCCTTTACAAGTCAGGTTTGCATTAAAATTGAGGCATGCCTCACCTTACTGGGGCAGACATGGAAAAAATAAAAGAACCGCATTTATTTTTATTAAAATGGCCAAAATACCTCTGCAAGATCTAGGGGCTATCTGTCATTTTCTATCAAGAATATTTTTCTTTATTTTTATCAGGCGCATCCTGAGTGAGGTGTGCACAACCCAAATTTCACTACAAAATAAATTATTGAGAAAAAAACAAAAATAAAATTCTTTGAGGCATCTAACCAAAGATTAAACGCTTAATAGAAACTAACTTGGAACAATAGGGCTAAAGTTCTCCCAACTATCCTTCCAAATCAGACAACTACAAATAGTGTCACATATATTTGATATATAGGTAGTGCCACATGTAAAGATTTTCCACATATAAAGGTATCAGAAATAAGGTTAAAAATGGGTCTATTCATGGAAATGCATAAAAGTACCCTTATGTAATATGGCTTATTTTATATCCCAAATAAATATATCCAAAATATTCAGTCCTAACTTTGAACAAATATGAAGTACATATTAAAGATATAGTTTCTTTTTTAAATTAGATTTCCTATTACATATTTTTAATCAGATTGCTATCTACTACAGGAAGAGATAAAAATTGAATTAGATGAGGTATTCACACTTTGTAGGGCCCCTCAATTCATACTTTCGACAAAATCTCTCATCTCAATTTGGGATTAACAGTTTCTTAGAGCCACATTTGGCGGGAATGCAATTCAGAGGCCGACTTGCTCACAAAGTCAGGCGCTTCAGATGCTAGTGACTGAGTGAATTTTCGAAGACTTCAGTCCATACTCCTTTCAGGGGTCCTTGCCCCCTCTTATCCGTAATGTGCAATCCTTTTGTCCTTCTATCCCCCACCTAAGGTGGTGGTTGTATAGCACTCCCAGCTTGTTGGGCAGCCATTTTTCATGTATATAGCTTCCAAATTACAGGAAACTCATTTTTTGTACACATGCCTCATTTTAATAGGTGACTTTTTCAAAAAAATCTCCAATATGATACATTCATGTAGGGAAACCAACAGCAAAGCAAGTTGTGGCCAACTCTTCTCTATTTGTGACAGATTTTTCATTTTTCTACAGTCTACTTCACATAGATTCAATTTTGTGAATGGAATAGTCTACATACTTGTACATTTTCGGGAAAAAAAAAGTCACATGCTTTTACATCTTTTTTTTACACAACTAATGGAAGTTAGGATTATTCCAAAAATAAAATAAAATCTATTTAAGTTTGACGAAATTTTTGAAGTCATTTTTTCATATAATTAACAACCCTCCACCCCCCTCCTCCTCCCCCTCCCACTCCCCCTCCCCCACCCCCTCCCTCTCCCACATATACTTGACTAAAGATATTAACAATCGAAATTTGTAGCTTACATCGAGTTGTGGAATAAATTGATCCACAAATGGAAAACCGCGATAAAATTTGTTGCACAATGAGCCCCAATGCCAATTTTCCAATCGATATTGGTTTTGTTACAACTGAAGGTTATGAGACACAAGCCAGACAGCTATGTGGAAATAACGAATACAAGGTTCAGAAAATTAAAACAACAAGATTAATCAGGCCAGAAAAGGAGTATATTTATTTGGGACTTCAGTACCTTCACAGTCAAGATGAACAGAGGAACATCTCAAGATCTGGTGGCTTCTGAAACCAGTTTGTGAAACATGGGCTGCTCTTAAAAATTCTCACAGCAGCTCTGTAATCCTTAGCCATACTCTGTACAGAGCAAATTGACTCAGACATGCACGAAAGATCTCTCTCTCTCTCTCTTACACACACACACACAAGAGTCTGTGCCCATACGTATCTACATACTTGGTGCATGATTGTGATTCATGAGTGCGCCCACCTACAAGCCCATATTTGGTACATGCAGCTGTGTGCATGCAGGCACCCCAAGCATGCATGTCTTTGCTTACACACACACATCAGACCAAGATAACTATTTGCTGTAATATTTCTTTGCTATATATGAAATAGAAGAACACGATACTATTTACACACTTGAATAAGTAATAAAGTAAGCCAATAAAACTAGCAATTAACAAAATCAGACCACATATTACCTTGAGCTCAAGGTAAGAAAACATTTCCACTTTGAATCCCGTGGAAGAAGCACGTACAAGTGTAGCAAAAGCCTCCAAAAGCTGTTTCCTAGAGTGAAGTCATTCATTCCAGCTCACCCCTCCCGGGACCCTACATAGGCTGGACCAACACCGGGTTACCGGCCCTAGTTTGGAATGAATGACTTACAATTATATATATATA